TCACATTGTCCGATATTCCAATGGATCGATGCAACATTCAATGAAATTGATCAGATTCCATGCTTGAATGCCATGCAAATGGAACCATTTTTAATTGGCAATCAATTGTATGTGGCCGTTGCAAATTACATGGACGAACGTCAAAATATCGAAACTTATTCGACCATTTTTCGCTATGACTTTGAAACGCGCAAATTCAATGTGACACAAAAATTGAAAACATTTGGTGCCATCGACGTGAAACACGTGCACATCGGCGATAATGATTTTCTTTTCGTGGCCAACTCGTTTCGGGCGCACAAAGGTATGCATGCATCCACGTCAAACGGTGTCGTCTATCGATACGATGAACAATCGACATTTGTACCAATGCAAATTCTAACCTTTGATACGGAAGTTACACAATTTTTACCGTACTTGGTGAGCTAGTTTCTTTGCATATTGAACGTGGAAATGGTATTTTAATTGCAATTTGTTTCAATGCAGGGAGATAATCAGGAATTTGTGCTGTTCGTTTCAATGAAAGAAGGCCCAACAAAGACATATCAATTTGATGGCTTCACATTTTATGAAACACCAGTCACATTCACCGGTGGCTCACTCGGACGCGGCGTTTCGAAAATGAGAACACACAAAATTAATAATGATTTCTGGGTCATTGGTAGGTATTATTGAAATTTGATATACTTTGCATTTGAATGGGAAGTAAAATTGAGAAGTATTAAATTATAACGAAACAAAAGTAAACCTTAATGAACAAAATTGACTTTGAAAAGATATGTTCTTCATGAAAATCGTTTGGTTTTTCCAGTTGTTGCCAATTCGGAAATGTATCGAGATACAACGAATTTATTCCGAGTAAAATTCACCGTGACGATGGACTATGATTTCAGCAAAGCCTTCGAAATGTTCGATAGTTGGTATAAGAGTGTTGATGAAAAATTACGCACGGATCGAATTTCGGAAATTTATCATGAGATTGAAGTGAGTGCAAAACTATTTTTTCTGGAAAAACTGTACAATTTTATAAGGAAATTCGTTTTTTCAGTCATTGCGACCTCCTCCTGGTTTTGGTGTCATCAACTTAGAACAGACCAAAGTGAAAGTGATACAAACAGATGCGGTTCGTTGCACTAATTTTGAAGTTTTGTTGAGTTTTAGCACTCGAAACATAAATTGACTGTTAATCATTTTTTTCTCCTATTTGCTCCCATTTTCTCCCTTTTTTCCTCCTAGATTTCAAGTGCATCGATTCCAATTGATTTCGTCGAGTTAAAACGGGCTATGCAACGAGCTGATGAGATAGTCACAAAGGATGTTGTGCGACGTCCGAAGCGTTTAAATGATTCAATGCTTCAGAATGATATGAATTCATCGCAAATTGATATCGACTTTGAAGCCCAAGAGATGCCAACCACATTGACCATAAATGAGCTAACCGTTTCAGAGAGTTTCTTGGCCGAATCCATCAATGGGCATAAGTTCAGTGATTTGGTTTGTGAAGATTCCGATTTGGTGTTGTACAATTTCACTGTTGAAAAATTAGTGATTAATGATGCGGCAAATGTTGAAGCGATCGAAAAGAAGCTGTTGGAAAGTGATGAGCGTGTAAAGAGAGATACATCAAGTGATCCATCGACCGAGCCGCTCAATTTGTATAATGTCATCGTTGAAGGTCATGTGAATGGTGTCAATTTCAGTTACTTTGTGGAAAATGTACTTAGAACAAATGGCGATCAACGTCTTGAGGCTCCAGTCAATTTTGGCCGACTGCGCGCAAAATCGATTCAAGCAACTGATGGAAAAATCTCCAATGTTGATCTAGCATCAATTGCACGGATCAATGCGAATGAAACGGTGATTCTGTCACCGATTCGATTCACACAAGGTATTCAAGTGGATAAACTCTCAATCTTGGAGCGTGTGAACCAAATTGCCATTAAGGGGGGTAAATTGGATGCTTTATTGAAACGGAGTCGCGAGCCACAAGTGTTAACTGGGCAAAAGATATTCGAATCAATTATACTGCTTGAACCGATCACATTGCAGGGCAAAATTAATATTTCCAGTTCGGTGCTGAGCAAAATGAAACCCATCGTTACGGTCAATGAGGATTTGTTCATCGAAGATGCGGTATCATTCATTGGAAATGTTTCAATCAAAAATCTATTGAGCATCGGAAATATGTTTGGTCAAAGCTTACGATACAATGCCGAACAGGTGTTGGCCGATGGATTGAAACTGGATGAACCAGTCAATGTTCCCTTGGAATTTTTGCAACCACTGCGAATTGACGATATTCAAAATCCAACACGAATTAATAACGTTCCCATTAGCAGTTTGCTCCTACGCAATGTGACCGATGTGCAAAAAGTGAGCGCTCCGAAAACATTCACCTCCGATTTATCGGTCGAGGGTGGAAATTGCGATGCAAATGAAATTAATGGCATTAATTTGCAAATATTGAACAACACAATGCTCAAACGTTCGGCCAAAAATCAAATCGTCACCGGCACCATTCGCTTTGAACGAATCACCGCCCGAAAGTAAGTAACGGACCAGGGTTTATTTGGCATCACAAATTCTTTTGTGTTATTGTCTTGAAACTCTCATTTCGATTTTGAAGAGTTTTTGGTGATTTTTTCTGTTACTCTTCCCAATTTGAAATTGTCAAAATGAGAATAGCTTTTAAACTAATTCCTTCTCTCCTTCGTCACACAGGGTTAAATCCGATAAGTTAGTCATCGGCAAAACACCGTTTGATCGCCTGTTGACAAAAGGTACGGACCAAAACATCACCGGAAATGTCACAATCGATGGTAGCATTATAATGAACAATTCCGAATTGGAAATCGATCATTTGTTCACGCAAAATGCCATTTTTGGTGTTGATTTGAAGGAATTGTTGGATGATTCATTCTTTTATTCGCCAAATGATAGTATTGTTCTGACAACTGACAAAACATTCGAACACCTAACCATTGGTCAATTGGTGGTTGAGGATGATGATTTTTGGCAAGTTGGCCACACAACTGGAGAGATCACCAAGAGTCTGGAAGAGCTATCAAAAGGTATCCGAATCAAAGGCCCAGTCACATTTGCTTCTACTTTCAATATCACAAATCTCACGGTAACTGATTCCATAAATGATATACCGAGCTCGAGTTTTGGTCAACAATGGCTACTCTCCGAAGGAAAACAGGTGCGTTGACACACAAAAATACACTTCAACATCAATGAATCGATTTGAAACGAATCACATCTTGAACATTACTCATTGACTATATACTTTTTTGTTTTTTTTTTTGCTTATGCAGACATTTGTGGTGCCACAAAATTTCACTGATGTAACATTCAATGATAACCTCCAATTGTATGGGCTTTTAAATGGCAACGATATTGATCAGCTGTTCGATGATACAGTAAACAAAAGCGAACCAGTTGCACTAAAACGCGTTATATTTGGTAAGAGCAATCATTCACAAAATATAGCGCATTGAAAATGAACGAATCGGTTGAACCAATTTGATTCATTAAAATTGGCCAATTGCATATTTATGTGTCATTTGATGAATTTACATCTATTTTCCTCTCGAATTACATAAGATCGATTTGCATATTTTCCACAGATAATGCCATTTTCGACAAATCGCTAAACATTGGCGCCAAATTATCGGGCATTCAAATTCCGGACGATTTGATTCTTAGCTACTCAGACACCTTACAAAATTTCAATGAACCATTGAGTTTTGCATCGGATGTGGAAATAGTTGGAACACTTTCAATATCCGAAACACTGAACGGGTTTAGCCATGCATTAATCTGTGAATTGCTTGAACCAAGACCGGACAGCTCGCAGAATTTAACGATTGAAGGTAATTTTCATTCCATTGAATATAGTCAATGTTCCTTTTTAATCAATTCAATTCTTGATCTTATGACTTTTGAATAATCACGGTTTTCTTATCAACAAAAAACGCACGTATGTTTAGGTGATGTCATTTTTGCAACTGATCCAACGATTGAATATCTCAATTCGGAGTCGTTCCAGTATATGTTGCTGACCACCTGGTTTCGAAGTGATCAATACGTAAATTTTTCGGCAGGTGTACATTTTAGCAGTGCTGCTTTTGAGAAGCCAATCACAGTCGCGGTATAGTTAGCGAATTTTTTTATATTCGAAAACTAAACCAGTTCACAGAACACAATTCTGATTGTTTAATCTTTCGATTGTAGGGTTTAATCAATGACATTGATTTGCACGATTTACGAAGCCGATACTTGAGCATGAATAAACCACAAAAAGTGTCCACTCCACTGCGGTTCCATGGTCGTGTCCACTTTATGGATTCGGTAACAGTTGAAACACTTTCACTGGGCGGACTTATCAAAGTTCCGCAGAGGTAAGATTTGTACACAATTTTGCGATAAACACAAAATTCCTTCACCTATTCGATAAATCTTCAAAAATTCACTCGAATGTGAAGTGAATTATTGCAACTAAAAGCTAATTAAACTACTGGGCAAGATGCCATTTAACTTACGTGCAATTTTTGAATTAAAATCGACAACTTCAATCCAAAAGTTTCGATCGTGCACAAAGTTGTTTTGCAAATGGAATTATTTGAAAGGTGAGATATTGACAAATCAAAACACTGATACTGTCAACGTCAAAATATGTGATAAATTCCGTGTAGTGACTAAGCACACCGTCAGATGGAGTTGCCTGATTTGTAATGTGCTTTTCGATGCTAGTTTCGATGCGCTTTGCTAAAGTGTGGTACAAAACAACATGAATTACACTTTTTCTTTTTTTTTTGTTCTGTTTTTTTTTTCTCTTCTTATCATTCGATTCGGTTAATGTGAATTCTTATTATTCGCTAGCGATATCACATTGAATATCACGGACTTCGATCAGAATGTGTTAAAAAATACGAAGGATACACAATTCATTCGAGGCCGTTGGACGGTGAACGAGATCCGATTTTTGGGTACGATGATTCGCATATGACTATATCTAGGGGTTTCACGCAACTTAAAATTCATCTAAAATTTCAATATTTCTCTCTTTTCTCTAAAATTCTCTGGGATTCACCAAAATCCGTATTATTTCGAAATATTTCAACATTCACCTTGAAAATTATGTTCTGGAAGTGGGTTTTGGTGGATCCCCAGGATCGTTCAAAACTGCTCCCGGTTCTGGAAGTGGGTTTTGGTAGATCTTCAGGATGGATCAGACTGGGTTTGACAATGCCCTGGTCCATCCTGAGGATCCACTTCCAGAACCAGGAGCGGTTTTGAACAATCCTGAGGATCCACCAAAACCCACTTCCAGAATTTTTAGAATCAAAAAATTCTAAAAAATTCGAGTTTATGAACAAAAAGAAGCAATATTTATAGTTTGCACATAAAATGGTTTTATTTCCAGCTATTTAGTAAAATCTTCGACCTTCGAGTTTGCGTGAAACCCCTAGGACTATATTATACCAAATAATTTCAATTTAGTTTACCATTGGTTTTGTTTTTCGCTCTTCTCTTTGTTTTATTATTTTGATTGGTCTTTGAACCGCAGGCAGTTTGAGTGCAACCACGGTGAATGGATTGAATTTTGCGGCAGATGTAGCACGTGTAGATCGGCCCGAACTCAATATAATACGGGCAACAAAACGATTCCGATCGCTACAAATCGATCGTCTCGAGTGTCGGGATAGTTGTACTGTTCAAGGAGTTGACATGGACGATTGGATAAGCCGGGCAGCTATGATCGGTTTAAATCATACCATTCAAGGCACCGTTTATGCACAAAATCCCATTTTATCATACATTGAAGCATCAGGTTTGGTCAATAACATGACAATCAATTCACAAACAGTGCTCTTGAAGAAAACACCACAAACTCTCAAGGGTCCGCTTATTATCGGAAATCGCTCACGAATCGATTCAATTAATTCACTTACATTCGACAATTTGTATGTGAATTTCATCAATGACAAGAATCTGACGGATTTCTTTGGGAATTTGGTGAAAAAAGATGGTCGTGGCAATGATGTGGGTAACATTTTCTCCGATTTGGAATTTTCCGATCGTGTGAATTTCGACAATCTTAACATATTGGGTCTATTGAATGGCATAAATGTCAACGAAATCATGTCACAAGATCATTTTGTCTATGGTGACCAGTATCGAACGGCTGCCAACGAACTCGATACACTGGTCGATAAACTGGTCCGCCGGGAACGATTCAAACACTTTAAACGTTTTGCGGTGCGTACAACATTTTCACTTGACATCCAAGGCCTGCAAAAACTATTCGGATACGACTTTCAATTTGTTGCACTCAACAATTCTAACATTCAGCTTTATACATGGAACGTTACCACGAAAACCTTGGACGGAAATAACAGTAAGTGTGTGTTTAAAAATTCCAAATACCCGATGATCATTATGATGATTTTAATCACCTAAATCACTCACAAAACAAAAACTAGTGTGACTCGTTTGTATCGAAACTCAAACTAATTTTGCTTTAATTTCTCTTTTGTTTTTGATTCGGTTTTATAACAGTACCGTTAGCCTTGCCGGAAAATATGGTTATCATTGATCTAACTGTGCTTCCCGCTGACCCGATGCACTTTCTCGTTATACAAATGAAAAATCTATACAATGGCCAGTTTGTACGCCAATTTTATGATTATAGAAATGGTTTGGAGCGGGCTCAAGTCGTTCATGAAATTGTCACGGACACCGAAACAACCATTGAACCATTTAATTTGGATGCACGTCATTGTTTCATTCAATATAGGTAAATTTCTTATTTTTTTCATTCAACATATCTCTCAATCATTTTTTTTTTATTTGCTTTTTCGATAAAATTCAGAATTTCAAATTAAGACCTCACAAAGTCGATTCATTTTCATTTTTGTTATACATTTTGTTTTTTCGTTGTACATACTTGCAGAAAGTTTAATGCTACTCAATTCGATGTGCAATGCATGGACGTTGTTGCAGATAGCGAAAGTAAACAGCAACAACAACTGATGAAAGTGCATCAAATTGATGTAAAAAAAACGAGTGAAATTTATAAAATTGCCAGCGGATACGCAAATGCAATAATTTTATGGTATATTAACGGTGAAATCGAAAGTCGTTGGTATGACACGCAAAATCGAAAGGCCGACTCATGTATTCGTCTATTCACCAATGTAACGGCGGTAGCGGTAAAACAATTTGATAAAAATAAATTTGTCACCGTTTGTTGGCATTCAAATCCAATCGATGGTCGAGCCGATACAATCCGGGGATTTGCCAGCGTTTATCGGTAAATCTCATTTCCAGTCGCATTCAAAAGCGGTCTGATTTTCCATTGGAGATTAAATGTGACTCAACTCGTTTCTTTTTATCGTTTTGATCTTTTTCAGCACTGAGGGATCACATCTTGAGCATTACTCAGACATTGAGTTTTCAGATTCAGTCATTTTGCAGTGTGAACTGACGAAATTTTCAGCGGCTCAGACGATTTTAGTGATTGCCGTTCGAACGGCAATGGGAGAAATGCTGCAAATTTATCAAGATAAAGGTGTTAATGGTTTCCAGCCGCTGAAAGAGCACGTTATTCGATTGAAAGTACCAGTTCCATATAACTTCATCAATCACATTGTACCCGAAAAACGATTTTCATTAATCGAATCCGAAGATGACATTTTAAGCTTTATCACTGTGTACTCGATGTATGGCGTGGGCTTCTTCGAATGCATTTATGTGTAAAATATTCGGGTGTCAATCAAAATTTTTGATTTTTCTTCATTTGTTTTGAAAATTATTTTAAAAATTTCTTATTCATTTACATTTTTTTGCTAATTAGAGTGGAAAGTAATTTATATTGATGTATATTTTAGCCAATTCATACATTTACTAATAGAAAATAGGGGGAGAATTTTTGTTTCCGAATTCGATATGTTTCAAACATACAAAATATTTAGAAAATTGTTGTGATATATAATTTATTAGTGGAAAAAGAGATTAAAAGCCACGTTAAGAAGAATGTTTATTTGGACTGTTTCATTTTCCATAATTTGCTTCCATTTGCAAATGAATGCGGATGGTGTCGTTGCTCATAAAATAGAGTGTAAGTATATCAATGTTTCTTTTTCCATCTAATTCTTAGTTGCCACACAGCCAATCGTCATTTCCTTAATCGCATGTCGAGAGCCGGAAAAAAAGTCAGCCGAAAAAAAAACAACAACTAATGGACGACCGTGTTAATTTTACCTGAATTCAAGCAATTTGTCCATTTGTTGGTCATGTTGTTTCGAATGGTAGAAAAAGTCATTCACCTCATTTGGTGTTTGGATTTGCGGTAGCTAGCAATCGCATTGAACGGCGGTGAAATGGCCCAAATCACATTTGGACTGCGACCAAGTAAAAGTGAACATGAGAGAAAAGAAAAAGACAGCGTGTTAAGCTTGTTCAAAGTGAAAAGTTATGATTCGGCTATAAATATTCGGTTCGATGGCATCTCTCTCTCTCTCTCTCTCTCTTTCTTCAACATTTTATGAATTTTGGGGCCATGCCTTTGACTCATGCCTCATTTTTATCGCTTATTTATTATGATTTTATGGCTTTTCTTTCATTCAAATGACGACAAAAACGCGCGTTGTCCTAGTCATCGTGCTGTCACTTCCATACACACAGTAGTCTTTAATAAAGACGCTTCATTTTCAGCTAATTTACCGAGATTTGTTGTTTTTAATTCACTCGTTCGGCTATACCAATGCATTGAATGGGTAACACAGAGGCAGACGTGCGAAAATGAAACATGTGAAATGCGGCTGAAATGAAAAGAGAAACAAATCTCTAGATGAAGAGCGAAAAAAGAAGAAGAAAAAAACCACGCACACAACAATTTTATAATCGAAAGTGAAAAGTATGTCATGTCGCATTTTTTTTTTCTCTTCATGCATAAGTACAAACACATCACATCGCATCGCTCGCTGAACATATGTGTCGTTGAGAATAAAAATGGGATTAGCCGAAACCGCTCATTTACATGTGAATCATTTTTATGTTCCTGGTAAGAGATAGAAGACATATGTCTGCTGCAATGTTTTAGAATATTTCAAGATCTTTATCTTTGCTTGAGATACTTACCCCATATCTTGTACCAGAAACACAAAAATGATTCGCATAAAAACACGCGGTTTCGGCTAATCCCATTTTTATTCTCAACGACACATATATACGATCAATTAAATGGTAGTATTTTTCGTCAGTTGTGAAGCAACTCAATGAGAAGAAGAAGAAGAAGAAGAAGAAGAAGAGGGAAAAAACATTATGTTTTGCTTTTGATATTGTTGGGTTAGCCGCATCTATTGGGCACCACGAACAAATTCCGAACTAATTCAGTGGCCATTTGCTGCCACAGTGTGTTTGTCTTTGCAATTCACCGCAATCGTGTTTTATGGAATTTCAGCAAAACAATTCACGCGCACAGCATAGGTATAAAGGCGCAGCAAGCGCACACAGAGGTCAATAACACCACAATTCAGTTTTTTCTCTCTCCTTTTTTTTCATGAAGCATTCATTTCATGAAAATATTCGTTGTGTTGTCTACCACCGCTGCCGCTGAACATGGATAGAAAATTGTTACAACTGAAACGTGCGATGTTCAAATGAACGAAAAGGTGTGATTGAACTCTGAATTTGGAGTGAAATCAACTATACATTTCGTTTGAAGCAAACTGATTCGGAATTTGTGCAGGTCAGGCAACTGAAAAAAAAAGTTCACGGTGTACAATATGGACAAGTAATGTGTTTGAAATGACACCATATCCAAAACGATATTATGTCCCACTTGGAAATGTGAATGAAGGAAATGACTTGTTTCACATTGTGTACGAACGCGCGAAGAGAAAAAAAATGCGTGGTGAAAATGTGTCTACAAGAATAGTGAAGGAGACAAAAAAAAAAGCGAAACGAAAATTGTGTCAAACTATTTACAAATCACAAAAATTGAAATGCATGTTACTAATGGCGGATATTGAATGGCAATCTGATTAAAACCAAACGTACCAAATTGAAAAGTGAAACAAACAAGACAGAAAATGATATCGGCAAAGAAAATTCCGTCGTTGTTGTAGTCGTTTTGCCGCACTGGTTTCAGTTATTTGTTGCCTTCGCTTCTCTTCTGTGTTACATTTCTTTTCTTTGTTCGACGGCCAATTGGGATGAATGTCATGGCGTTCATATGCATGTCTGCCGATTCGTTCGCTTGTTCGTTCAGTAGATCGCTCTGTTTTGATTGTTTATTATAAACGAAGCACAAAGAAATACAATACAAGCAACAACGAAAAATGCCGCATTTCACTTTTACTTCGCAAAAGTCAATAATTAAATTGATCGTGCGGCGCGTACGATTTGTTTTCACTTCTGTCTATTTTGTGCTCTCTGTGTGTGCCCGTTCAACGAGTACATTGACCGAGAAAGTGAGATTTGCATGCTTTTTTTTGTTTCTTTCTCGTTCAGTTGGCCATTTTCCTTCCCGGCTGTTGTTACCATAGTCGCCGTCGCCATCACCACCGAGTCACTCTGAATAAAGCACGAAACATACGTTTTTATTTACTTTTTTCTTCTTCTAAATGATTACAATTGATACAAAATGTGAACAACGCTCCAATAAAATCGATCAATTATTTATAGTCATTTCTAACTGAAGTATTAACTGATGCTGTGAACTCATTTTTCTTATTTATATCATTTTTCTACCATCTACATAGATTTAGATATAATTTTTACTGTCGGCATCGCTATTAATATTTGGAACTTCTATATTTAGCTTAATTCAATTAGAGCATCTATGTTGTTGACAAATCGAAGCTTTTTGACTTTGTGTCATTTTTTCCTTCTTTCTTTCCTTGTCTAAGGTAAAGAACTTTAGTAGCCGTGGTTTTTTAGCCGATTGTGAACAAGATAAAAAAAAGTGCGTATTTTGAAGGCTCATGTGATGCATATATTTCAGCTGGCGATAAACGCATCCCAAGCATCTGAACCCAACGAATCACGCTGTTGAGTGTGGTTTGCGGTGTGTCGCTAAAATCTCTTTCTCCATATCATGCCGCTTCGGCTGTACAACTTCATTGTATGCATGTCTCTTTTTTTTCGCACACTGTACACTCGTATATACACACGCATTCACTTCAATGTACACAGCCATAGGAGGCGTCGTTGTGATGCGACAGTGTATTGACCCACTTGCTGCATTTTATGAGCATGTAGCCGATGTATACAGTGTGTGTATGTTTTGTACGAGCGAGCTTAGAGAGGTTGTTGCCACCGATTCAATATACATAGTTTGTGTATGCCGTGTCTTTTTTTCCTCGTGTATTTGCAAAGCGTTCGCTTTCTGCTCCATTCTCTTTACTTTTTTATTCGGGCATTTTCTATCGTTTTTCTTTTTCGGTTTGCCGTTTGCATCTATCTCTCCTTTTTTGTCTTTCGTCAAATTAATTTTCGCTCATTTTCGGCCTTATATTGCTTAGATTTTGGATTTGTAATATTATTACAATATTTATGAACGATGCAAATTGTTGTGTGCAACTTAACTGGAATTCGAGTGAAAATGCTTGAATCTTGTTTGGATTTCGTATGTAGGATTCACATAATAATGGTCTTTTTTTGGTTCATTTCAATTTTCAAATGTATAACTTCAAATGATTGAATATTTAATCTATGGAGGAAAAAAAATGGAATGAAATAACAATTACATTCTCCTGAAGCACACTCTGTGCCAAGTCAATATGTCCAATTCTGGTTGGAATGAGCGCAGAGATACAAATGTCTTGCAAAAGGAGAAAAATAATCACCATTCAATCCAACAAAATAAATCGTGTCCAAATGCAGCTTTCAGATTGATTAAATCGATCAGTTAAAACCGTTGATTCGATGTGAAAATGTGGCCTGATTTCAATAGATCTCGAATATATGCATCGAATTCGAAAAGAAATCGAGAGTTTCAGATTCACTTTTCTTTTTCTTCATATCTTTGTTTCTTCTTCTTCAAATTGTGTCGGCTGTTATCATTCGCGATGTTGGATTGCGTTCGATTTCTTTCTCTTTTTTTAATCGTTTTCTTCGCGTTGAATCCGTAACGAAATGCATGGGGTTCGATCATGTCTTGGATTTTCTTTCGTTTTGATTCTCTCTTTCTTTTTTTTTCTTCTTCACGCTGCTTATTTTTCATTCGTTTTCAGGTATTTTCTTTTTTAATTGATCTGACTGAAATTGTTGGCGATTTTCTCTGTCACTCATTTATTGTTTCATACGCAATGTGATTTGATTATGCTTCTTGCTGCTGCTGTTGTTGCTGTTTTGTTTGGCATGAAAGCGTACAGTACTAATTTTTCGAGTTCATAATATGTGCTCTCTTTTTTTTCTACCTTCTTTCTCTTCTCTCTCTCTCTCTCACTCTTTCACTCTCACTCTAAGCGTTTTTTTTTGTGTTGTTTTGATTTTGTTTTCATTCGTCGATTTTGACAGCCGAAGAAAAATTAGTGTTGAAAGCTTGAAAAATCACTGTAATGTGCGGCCGAATTGAATTGGCGAAAACGAAAAGAAAACGTTCATTTGTCATATTTTGCTGCTGCCATCGAAAATCGTTTAAATTACGAGCAAACGACTTTTTGCATCAATCTCTTTCTCTCGCTCTCTATACCTCTGAACACCTCTTTCTCTCTTCTTCGACAAGGCGGCGCACACAGAATACACTCTCAGCTGAACGTAGAGAGCCGAATAGCAAGCAAGCAAGCAAGAAAGTACGTTTACCCAATTTTGTGGCACAGTTTTCGCTTTTCTTTCGTTTCGCCATTATGCGTATCTGTATATCTATTCGTGAGACGTAAAAGAATGTATGTTTTTTTCTCGATTTATATTTTTGAAAATGAGAGTATGTTTTCTCTTGATTCTATCTGCGTTAAAAGAAAGTATGTTGTAGTACCGTCTAGCCTCCGCGGTCTTCTCGTTTTTCGCGCAACTGATAAGAGATAACAACTAGGT